TGCTTCTGTCCTTTGCCTTGATGCCTAAGAAATTCTTTGGGGAATTTTTCAAATTCTTTTGAGATTGACACTGTAGGAAGATGTGAAAACAAACAGTTAGCTATCATATCCAAGATAATGCTGACAGCTATTGACTTTAGCAGACTCTGAGAGCAATTGTACTTTGTCATTGCTTGACAGAATGCTAGCACTTCACAAGCCTCGGATCAGGGAACAGGGCTCCCCTAGTTTTAGCATTGCATAACAGCTGGAATTCCAGCTTCTCATTATAGACTGGCTAAAGTTTAGGGAAGTGAATTTTACCTGCAGACCCTCAAAGCGAGGAGGTGGTACTAGGAATTGAACCCAAGCCATAAGCACATGCCGTGCCACTGAACTACACCCCCCCCCCCCCCAAATTCTTTTTTTAATAATTTTAAACCTGTGGTTGCAGCAGACTTCTTTATATGACTCAGTATTTAACTATCACTTGCAACTAATTTGCCCTTCCTCTCCAAGACGGCCACTACCTTTAGATTCAGCCCAGAAAAACCTCCTAGGTATGTAGGTGGCTGTATTGACTATGTGTTGATGTTTTTTTGAGAGCTCACACACAAAGACAGCCCTTAACATGAAAGAAGAAAATAGCAAACCTGGGGGCCGGGGAGATGGCTCAGTAGAATAAGTGCTTCCCTGGCAAGCGCAAGGGCCTGAGTTCAATCCCCGGTTCCACAAAAAAAAAAAAACTAGAAAGAAAATAGCAAACACGTGGTGCAGCCTGTGTGTTTCTAATCTTCTAGAACACGGTGGCGCTGTTTACCTGGAAGCACTTGCCTTCAGTGTGGCTGCTGGTTCCCCAGAGCTTTTTGGATCCTGCATAGCAAGGGCTCTTTGTGACTGGTTCTGTTTTTAATTCCAGGCGTATGTATCGAAATGAGCTCCCAAGGTGTCCCAAAGCCCATGGTGATTTTACCCTTCATGAAATACGGGGATCTGCACACCTACCTACTGTACTCCCGGCTGGAGACCGGGCCAAAGGTAATGGTCCCTGACACGGCCTCCGGGTGCTCCCGGGGCTTCCTTCGGTGGGGCAGCCCCAGGTCTAACTTCAAAGACCAAGGAAAAGGAAAGGACTTTGTTCAGCACCCCATGCACCTGAGGGCCGAACTCTGGTGTCTGTCCTGAGAGCAGGCCTGCTTGGGGGGCAGGGAGGGTATCATTGTCTCTGCCTTCGGGCAGGGGGAAGCCTGCTGGGCTCACACCCCCTGGCCAAGGCCTCATCACTCTGCCCATCACAGCCCTAGGCACCCCAGAGCTCTCTGATGATGATGAAAAGGGCTTGAGAGACAGCCCTCTCGGCCCTATGTGGTGCCACGTTCCTTAGTCCCACCACTCCAGAGACCAAGGCAGGACTATGACAAGTTCAAGGCCAGATAACTGTCCTAAAAGAAATTTTACAGCGAAACTCCTCCATGGGTTTCATCCTTTGAAATGTGCCTAAATTTTTTGTGACTAGATACTTTCCTGATAAGTTTTTGGTTTTGTTTTGTGATGCTGGGAATTGAATCCAGGGCCTTTGCAATGAGCCATATCCCCAGCCTTTTGTTTTGGGATAGTATCTCGCCAAGTGATTAAATGGCCCAAGCTCGGTTTGAACTTGTGATCCTCCTGCCTCAGCCTCCCAGAATGCTGGGATAGCAGCAGGCTCCTGATAGTCTTAATCTAGTAAAATCTGTTGTAGTCAAATGTGGTGAGTCAGGGCTGCACGCCTGACATTGTTACTGTGTCCGTAACATCATACCCGATATCTGGGCTTTCCGGCCATGAGGGTGGTGTAGCCTAGCCATTTGGGATGTCACTGTAGAGCCAGTGGTGGGTCCAGGAAGTTCAGGAGTGCAGACCTAGGGCCTGGCCCCTTTAGGCCAGTTTGCAGTTTGGATTTGATGAATTGTCCTTTGGGCCTCATATTCGCTGGTGACATCGCACTGGGGTCTCCTGGTCTGGAACGAACACCGTGTCTTCCTGTCCTGTTTCCTGTGGACTGCGCTGGAAGTGTGGTTGTGTGCTGCCTCTATGCTGCCGCAGCTGTCTGTCCTGTTTCTTTGCTTCGTGCACCTTCTCTGTGAGAGGAGGCAGCGGCACTTGGGGACAGGGAGGCTTTGGCAAGGACACATGCATAGACGCCACGGGGCTGGCCTCTGGCACTAGTCACCTGGTGGGGACAGAAGGCACTCCTGCATCGCTGCTGTAAACCGAGTACAGGCTGGGGAAGTCACAGCCCTCCTGTCTCCACCTGGGCATTCTCTAACACAATCCCCTTTTGTCCCCTTAGCTGCCATCACTAGCAGGACTCTGGTGAGTGCAATTAGAAGCGCCTGCTTCCATTTATCTTTTCCCAAGTCACCCTCCTGGCTGTTGTGTCTGAGAACGCTTTGTCTAAGCCTAGTTGGGTTTTTTATTTTTTGGGGTTTTTTTTTTTTAAGTTTTTTCTCCCATTTTCTCCCATTTTCTTCTAAAAGTTGGGGGAGGGTTCTGTGGTACGTTCGCCTGTCGGACCCATTTTGACTTGAATTTCGTACCAGGTGTGAGATTTAGTTCAGGGTCCTGGTGGGATTTTTTGGTTTTGGTTTGGTTTGGTTTGGGATTGGAGTTTTGCTTACGCATGATCATTGTTCGTGAAAAGACCGCGTCTCCTTACCCCGCTGAAGTTCGTGCATGCTTCTGCCTGAGTCCAGCTGGCTGTCAACGTGGGGATCAGGCTCTGAGTTCTCCTTTCTGTTCCATTAAGACACCTCCCCATCCGCTGAGCCCAGGCTTCGCTGCTTTGTGAGTCCTCCAGTTGTAGTGTGTACTTCCTGCCACTGTCTTGTACTTCTGCAGAACTGTTTTCGCTGCCCTACTTTCCACACCCTCTCGGGTACATTTTAGCATCAGCTCCTCTGCGGCTGCCAGTTCTGCTGTGATCTTATATTCTTTTGAACAAAATAACGAGTGAGGCAAGCCAACTACACAGCCTTCCGCGGACTAATGAATAGTTTCCATTTGCCAGAGTACAAGGCTGTCTTCAGTTATAAATGTGAAAAAGGATGTATTTTTGTATTTTGATACTTTGTAGCATTAGCTAAAGGAGACACAGAGTGCATAGATGAACTGGAAAATCATGTTTTTATTCAGCTTTTCCTCCTCCCTTTGGTCAGTTTCCTGGGAATAAAGGCCTTTTGTTCCTGGGAGAGTAGCCCTAGCCTAGGTCCGAGGGCACGTAAGTGTGCCACTCCAGCAGGCCTGGGTGCTGGCCCCAAGGGCCACTCTGCCCTCTGGGTGAACAGCATCCTTGGAGGTGTGCAGCGAAGACAGGCACACAACAAGGTGACCCAGATGCGCAGAGGTTGGCAGTGCAAGGGTGGCAGCTGCAGTGACCTGGCACCAGGCAGCCTGCTCAGAGCTTCAGGGAGGAGATAAGTTCAGATTGGGAACATTTTTTTAAATATTCCACACTAGGGTTGGCCAAATAACTCAGCAGATTAAAGTGCCTACAATCAGGAGCAGGGGACAGGGGTTCGATACCTGGGCCCGTCATGCCGGTCCTGCCCCCAGGGCGCGTTGAGATGGCAATTGAGACTGGGCGTGGTGGCGCACACCTGTAATCCCAGCTCTTGGGAATCTGTAAACAGGCAGATCACTCTGAGTCCGATCTAGAGTTAGACCCTGAACCCCCTGTAGGCCCTTCCTTAAAAAAATACAAAAGAATAAATGAATATGTAAATAAATAAATATTCCACACTGGTGTCATATTTGTTCTTGACCAAGTGGTGGGAACAAAATGGTAAATTCTGAGAAGTTCATAGCCGAGAACAGGAGTGACCACTCCTAAACTGAGTGGCTTAGGAAAATAGGCCATCTTGTGTGACAAAAGCAATGAGGTAGAAGGACGGTGATGATGTGGCGAGGAAGACCCACTGGACTTGGCCTTGGAGGTCCACAGCGGGAAGGGTGATAGGTTTTAACGGTGTTGCAGCAGAGAAACACGCAGAAGGAAAAGGGAAAACAGCTTTATTATAAAGGAAAAGGGGGGCTGGTGAGATGGCTCAGTGGTCTAGAGCACCTACTTAGAACAAGCTTAGCAAAGCACAGGGACCACAGTTCAATCCCCCAGCACCACATGCCAGCCAGCCCCGCCCCCTGCTGGGCTGAGCTGGCCACACACAAAAAAAATTAATTAATTAATTTAAAAAAAGATTTAAAGGAAAAGGGACTTCATTATCTTAGAGGATACGGAGAGAATTTGGGAAGATAAGGAATTCTCTGGATTGGAACAAAGGGAGGCTGAGGCTTTTATGGCCTTTGCCAGAGGTGGGGCTTGAGGGGGTGTTTAGATACACCTGAGGAGCTGACTGGGGCCTTCCCTGAGGTGGTGGGAAAGGTGAAAGGAAACTGCATCCTGGGCTGAGCTGGAGAAGAGGGGAGGTGGTCTCTGGGAAGATGAGCTGTTGTTTTAAGGGCTTCAGCCATATCAGATGACCACCATAATAATTCAGCAATTCTTACTAGGGCCAGAACCTATCAAAGGGTAACTCCCCTATGAGGAAAATGAAAGGCAGTTCACAGTGGCCTTCACAAAGGTGACTCGGGATCCCACGCACCAAAGCCAAGAGGTAGCACTGCTCCGTGGTCATCCTCCACGCAGTTCTGTCCTCAGCGAGGTCACCAAGTACTCAGAATTATCCCATCGGGTTGCTTTCCATTGGTGACCAGCTGTCGCAGGGTGGCACATGGCGGCCACTTCTCCAGCCCTCGAAGCCCCACCCTTAGCTTCCAGAGCCGCGAGAAGCTTCTCCACTCTGCCTAATCTTCCTCCATTTCCCTTTACCCCTCACTGGAGAGGAACAGCATTTTTACTGCGACAGAACTTTTAAAAAAAATTAATAAAACCAGCTTTATTGTGATATAGCTCAAGTGCTATATAAATCTTCCACTTAAAATGCTCCAGTCAGTAGTTCTTAGCATATTCAGAGTTGTGTGACCATCACCACAAACATCTTTAGGACAATTTCATCATCTTACCGAAAGAGAGAAAGAAAAAGAAAGAGGGAGCCGAGCCCCATTCTTTAGCCATCAGGTCCCATCCCCCTCTCCCACAAAGGCCTAAGCAACCACGGGCCCCCTCTGTATCTCCCTCCACTTGCCCACGTTGGGCACTTACCATAATTGGAGTCCTATCATACATTTGTTCTCTTTTGTGAGTGGCTTCTTTCCGTACTCAGAGGTCACTGATGTTGTAGCAGGAGTCTGTGCCCGTCTGTCTTCGTGGCTCAGGAAGATTCCGCGGGGTGCCCTGCCTTCCATCCATTCATCTGTTGATGCACACTGGGGTTGGTCACTTTTATAGCTTGTACAATTACTCTATGAATATTTTTGTAAAAGTGTTTAGATTGACATCTGCTTTAAATTCTCTCAGGCAGAGGTCTAGCTGTAGAGTGACTGGACCAGATGGTAAAACCCAATGTTTTACTTGTTGAAAAATTTCCATATTTGTTTGCTTCCTTTTCTTTTTTATTTGTCTTTCTTTTCTTTTCTTTTTTTTTTTCTTTTTTTTTTTTTTTTTTTTTTTTTTTTTTTGAAACATGGTCTCACTATGTGGTTCAGGCTGGCCTTGAGCTCACTTTGTAGCCCAGGCTGGTCTTGAACTCACAACAATCCTCCTGCTTCAGCCTCCTAAATGCTGGGATTATAGGTGTGTGCCACCATGCCTGGCTTCCAGATTTGTTTTTGAAAGAAGCTACATTATTTTACTTTCTCATGAGCATTGTAGGAGGGTTGCAGTTTCTCCACAGCCTCACCAGCACTTCATTCTTTGCCTTTTTTCTTCTATCCATTCCAGCGAGTGCAAATGGCTTTTTCAGCGTGATTTTGACTTCAGTTACCCTCATGACTGATCGTTTGAAGCATGTGTTCACATCCTTCTTGGCTACTTGTATCTCTTCTAGTGAAGAGTGTTTATTCTGATTTGTTTTTAATGAGATTAGTTGTGTGATTAGTTGTGTTTTTATTATTGAGCTAAGAAATCATTGCTTAATCTAAAGGGCTAATGATTCACCCTTATATTTTCTTCTAGAAGTTTTTAACTCTAGGCCTTTAAGTCTCATCCTCAGTATTAACACCTTGTGGAAAGCCAAGTGACTGTACTTGAGTGTACTGTGGGCTCTCAATTCAGTCCCACTAGTCTGTATGTCTGTCCTTATCCCCTTACCACCCGGTTTTGTTTTTTTTGTTTCCAACTCAGCCCACCCTGGGGGTGGGGTTGACACTGCACGTAGTGCTGGGGATTGAACCACCGTCCCCCGCACCCGCCTAAGCTCGCCTCAGCAGACACTTCAGACCACTGAGCTATCTTGCCAGCCCCCTTACGGCCGTGTCTTAATTACATCTTCCTTGTAGCAAGTTTGAAATCAGTGTGCAGCTTGCCCCCCCGTACAGGCTTCTTTCAGGCATTCTGGCTTCCTTGAGCTTCTGTGTGAGTGTTGGAATCAGCTTGTTCATTTCTACAAAGGAGCAGCCGACACTCTGACGGGGCTTGTGCTGGCTCTGTGGCTCGTTTATTGTGACAACAATAAGTCTTCCAGTTCACGAAGACGCAGGATATCTTTCCATGTCGTTAGAGCTTTAATTTCTTTCAACATTTTGTAATTTTCAGAATGTATTTTACTCTTCTCTGCTAAATTTATCTCTTAAGTATTTTATTTGGATTTTGCTATAAATGAAATTGCTTTCTTAATTTCACTTTCAGGTAGTTCATTGCTAGTATAAAAACACAATTAGCCCCGGGGCTGGGGAGATAGCTCAGTAGAATAAGTGCTTGCTTGGCACAAGGGCCTAAATTCAATCCCCGGTTCTGCCAAAAAAAAACAAAACAAAACACAATTAGGGGCGGCCAGACAGCTCAGCAGATTAAAGCTCCTTCTTAGGCAGACACAGGGGCCAGAGGTTCTATCCTTGGCCTGCGGTGCTGGCCCTGACCCTGGGGTGTGCTGAGACTGTGATTGAGAGTGGGCGTGGTGGTACACGCCTGTAATCCCAGCTCTTGGGAGGCTCAACACAGGCAGATCACTACGAGTCCAATCTATGTAGTGAGACCCTGTACTAAAACACACACACACACACACACACACACACACAATTGATTTTTGTTTGTCTATTTTACAGCTCTGCAGTCACGCTGAAAATCATTAATTAGACCACACAATTATTTTTTAAATGACTTTTAGCCATGCTCTTCAATAATGACATAATTATTATAGGGAATTACAGCATAGACTTTTAGTAGCTGATACACATAACATTTCCAATAATGATAATAGGATTTCATATTTCTTAGGACCAAAAATCCCTTCCTGGAAATTAGCATCCATAAAAACAAATACCCCAAATAAGCAGAACAGAGCCATAGAGCTTCCATGTCAACTTGTTTCCATTTAAAAAAACTCCATTACTGGGGCTGGTGCGATGGCTCAGTGGTCTAAAGCACCTACTTAGAACAAGCTTAGCAAAGCGCAGGGACCACGGTTCAATCCCCCAGCACCACATGCCAGCCAGCCCCGCCCCCTGGTGGGCTGAGCTGGCCACACACACACACACACACACGCACACACATAAATAAATAAAATTTAAAAAAAAAAAACTCCATTACTTAAGGGCAAAGATAATTAAGGCATTTTGGTTTTATGCAGAGTATAATTGACATGGGTCCTAGCTGGGTAATTAAAGTCATTAAAAACGCAGCATCCTTGTGAGTACTGTTTTGAAACACTGATGTTCCAACATGAATATGCAATGCAAATCAAGTGACTTGTGGAGACTCTAGACTTCATGGACCCGCTCATGATAGCTGGGAACTCGTAGTAAGCTATCGCTGCATTAAAACATTTCACTATTATGGGGGGGTCTTCATTAATCACCCTTATAATGATAACGGCGGCAGATTTTTCTAGCGCAGGAATCTAGTTTGATTTTTTACAACATAGAGAAAACGCAAGACTATTGAAACGTGCAGGATGTCCCAAGTGAAACAACACGAAGATCCCTGAAGACATCCTTGCCCATGAACCCCCTGATAAAGGGTGAGGGACAGTGTGATTGCAGTCTGGAAGAACAAAAGCATCTTTCAAACCATTTCAGATAAAGGGGTAGCAGAAAGGCTAGGCTGGAGCTCAGAAGCAGAACACTTGCCTCGCATGTGCGATGCTGTAGGTTCGATGCCCAGTGCCAGGGGAAAAACGGATTTAGACAAAACAATAGTGGGTATGGACACATAATTGAAGCAGCTTTATGCCTCCCAAGCAGTGTACCCCTCCAAGAGACACGGCCTGCCCTTACTCAGCTCAACCCCAATCCTCTCATCTGCCTGGTGTGGGCACCATATTACACTTGCCTCCCAAGGCTACTGCGGGTCCTAATTTATGAAAAGAAACAAAACGTTCATCACTGCAAATACTTACAAAAATGGGGACCAGAGAATGTGGTATTTTCTAAAAAGCTTCGAGAGTTTTCAAATTTTTGTTTTTAAAAGCTTATTAATGATAGCAGATAAGATTTCCCTGTCCCTTTCCCAGACCTTAAAGAATAAGAACAGCATCCCTCTCCTTGGGCGGAAGTGACATAATAATGAACAAGCTTTCCTTCCAACAACAGACCTTTTTCTTGTTTCTTCTACCCCTAGCACATTCCTCTGCAGACACTGCTGAAGTTCATGGTGGACATTGCCCTGGGAATGGAGTATCTGAGCAACAGAAATTTTCTCCATCGGGATCTGGCGGCTCGCAATTGCATGTAAGATCCATGGCCATCTTGGAGGTGTTGGGACTTAACAGTGTTTGATCTTTGTGAGGTTGCAGGGAGCAGCCAACCACTGTTAAAACAGGGAGGGAGATGTGGAGGTGTAGCTCATGGTGGAGCACTTGCCTAGAATGCTTGAAGTGCGGAGTTCAATCCAGAGTTAATTTTTTTTTTAATAAAAGTGGAGAAGGGCCAGCCAAATAGCTCAGCAGATTAAAGCATCTGCAAGCAGGCACAGGGGCCAGGGGTTCGATCCCCAGGCCTGCTGTGCAGGCCCTGCCCCTGGGGTGTGCTGAGATGGCAGTTGAGACTGGGTATAGTGGTGCATACCTGTAATCCCAGCTCTTGGGAGGCTGTAAACAAGAGGATCACAAGTCCAATCTAGTAGTGAGACCCTGAACACCCTGTAGATCCTTCCCTAATATACAAAAAATAAAAGTGGAGAGAAGCTAGTTTGAGAGGGAACAGTATGGCTTGCTTGGAATGGGGTTTCTGTGGCCCTAACCCTGGTTAGGGTTTTGTTTGAGGTCTTCATTGTCTCCACCTCCAAGAGTCGGGTTGGCCTCTAAAGCTTTTTCCTGTGATTGCTTTTCTTGACTTTTACCCTCTCACTCAGCTCCATGTACTAGGTGTGATCTTGGTGACCATCAGCTAGCTTTGTGCCCGGAGCTATGAAGTGACATCATGGCAATAATAAGTAATGACCTACTAACCTTAGGGTCACTGATAAATGTTGTGAAGGTTTTGTTCCTGCTTATTCTTGGTGCTTCCGTGCAAAGAACCTTCACACCATGCATACCCGTCATGAAAGCTTTACATACACAGCAAGTGGGGGTTCATTAGAGGAGAACTTGGGGCTTTATTTTCCCCATTTTTTCTCCCTGCTACAACAGAGCCCTTACCTATGTCAGCCTTCAAAGGCAGTAACTATCACTCCTGCTTAAGCTCAACTGTTGCAAGAAGAGGAAGTAGTCCTTGAGGGTATTTTTGTCATTTTTTTTTACAGTAGCACAAAATTTCCTTTTCAATGTATTAAGAAAAACTAGTAGGACAGATGGAACACTAGCATACATTTGAACTATTGTTGAAACAACAGAAAATTTAGGGGACTGTTTGAACGTCTCCCTACTGTCTATTTCTCTACTATTTTGCTTTTTATATGTATGTTTACATATTTTGAGTCTCATCTGAGAGAAGGCATGTCCTATTTAACTGAATTTTTTAATTATTTTATTTTATTTTATTTTTTGTATTTTAGTGGGTCTACAGGGTCTCGCTACGTAGATCATACTCATAGTGATTCTCCTGTGTTCAGCCTCCCAAGAACTGGGATTATAGGCGCATGCCACCACACAAAGTCTCAATCACCTTCTCAGCGTGCACCGGGGGTGGGGCTGGCATGGCATGTGCTATTTAAGCTTGTATATCTGCCTTAATTTGTTAACATTATGTTCTCTTAAAAACAAACAACCATTATGGTTTTTGTTTTTCGTTTTGAGACAGGGTCTTGCTATGCAGTTCAGGCTGGCCTTGAGCACACTGTATAGCCCAGGCTGGTCTTGAACTCCCAATAATCCTCCTGCCTCACCCTCCCGAGTGCTGCCCTAGACTGAAAGATTCCCCAGGAAGTGGGACTTTTCATTTTAAAATTCAGTATCGGGCAGAAGCAGGATATGATGACACACACTGTAATCTCAGCACTCAGGAGGCAAAAGGCAGGAGGCTCAAGGCTTGCAGGCAGTCTCAGAGAAACAAAAAAAGTTAATGTCAAGCAAACAGTGACAAACGAATCACCTACTTCCTTCTCTTCCGATTCTCCTCATCTTCCTCTTCCTCTTCTTTTTGTCCCTCTTTCTCTCTCCCCTCTTCTTCTTTTCCTCCTTGTCTAGTATCTGTTTTAATAGCTTGGACCTTAAATGCAATTATGTTGCTTTAACAAATAATAATAATTTTCCAGTGAATCCCCTAGCCCCCTCCCCAAGCAGCCCCGCTTGTCCCTCCTCAGGCTGTATTTCCCTCTTCCCCCAGCCTGCCAGGGGGCTCCATTAATCCACAGGGCCATGCTGCCTTAGGAGGACAGCCAGGAGCGCGGCTGGGGCACTGATCAACGTGCAGGGCACCCAGCTTGGAGCTGCTGCCCCTGCTGCTCCTGCCACACCTCTGTCCCCTTAGCGTCTCCACATAGTTGCCCGTCCCACTGGCCTAGTCCCACCCAGACCAGGGCAGTGAGAGACAGGAACCGCTCCACACTGTCACTAATCCTAAAGGTTTCTGGCTGTGTCTGCTGTAGCCCTGTGACGACAGGCTTTGCTTGTGAGGCTGCTGAGGACTCGAACTTGCTCTCCGCAGGTTGCGCGATGACATGACCGTCTGTGTGGCCGACTTTGGCCTGTCTAAGAAGATTTACAGCGGTGATTACTACCGCCAAGGCCGCATCGCGAAGATGCCCGTGAAGTGGATCGCCATCGAGAGCCTGGCAGACCGAGTCTACACAAGTAAAAGTGACGTGGTGTGTACCTGGCTTTGATTTGGGATCCCCCATGTTGAGGTGGGCTACTCAGCAAGAAATGACAGAGGCTGGTATTGCAAGTCATTTTACCTTGTCATAAAATGAGACCCAGAAGCACTGCCGAACTTTGGTTTCTTGCTAGTTACGTTGATTCAAACAACAAAATGTCCTGACATTCAAAAGATCTATGTTTTTCACAGGACTTTCATTCATTTCTTTTTTTTTTTTTTTTTTTTTTT